CCACTCCACCCCAAGCCTGTAGCCTTGCATGTGGTTATTGTGACCCAAGTGCGGGACCCAACACTTGGCCTTGTTGATCCTCATACATTTTATTAAATCTTATTAAATCTCATACCTACCACAAGCACTCCTACTCTCTGTCAAGAGAGTTGTTAGACAACAGGGAGGAGTAGAAACTGGAAGCAATAGACAGAGACTTTGAGGTGGAATATGACAATGTAGAATGAATCCTATTGGAAACATTAATTTTGAATTTAATAGCTAGTGAGCATTCTTGCAAAACAAAGTTCAGAAGGTTAGTTGTAGAGCCTCAGCCACTGCAACACCCATACTGTTGTAATATTTAAGGCTACTAATTTTGCTCAGATGTTCTGCCTTTCAGGGTTTATAGCACTTACTTTCTCTCTTCCTTTAGTTTGTCACTGCTTATTTAATAACTTCAGAGACCAGACTGTTTCACGATGACAAAAAAAGTATGCTCATGTCATATCAGAGACGAATATTTGTTTCCAAACACAAAAAGGCAGTCCATACTTGACCAACAGATATATGTACACACATGCATTTGTACATAATGTAGTCCAAAAGATAAAATGATTTTTTTTGAGCTGAAACATATACAATCCAACATTTTTTAAATTATTATTTAGAAAATAAGGATCAGTTAATACCTTAGGAGGTTCTGTTCATGTGCCTAAGTTGTAAGTCACACAAACTGAAGGAAGCAGAGGAAGGGAGGAATTAAGATAATAAAAATACTGAGAGCAGTGAGAAAATCCTCAGGAGCGTAATTCAGTCATTTAAACAATAAATAAAAATAAAATTAATGCACTAGTAAAGTGAATAGTAGGGATGAGTAAATTAAAGCCTACTCCACTGACACAAAAATGAGGAATAACAGATCCAGTTTTATTTTTTCCTGTTACATCAGATATTTAGCAGCTCTGCTCTGTTCATACCTACCATATAAAGGGATGAGTTTTAAACTAAAAATAATGTATATTTTATATTTAGCTTGTTATTCCATGAACCCAGTCTAGAAACATGACATTTTTATCCTATCACAAGTCCATGGTTCATAGGCAACCTTAAACCCTTACAAAGAAAGATTTATTTTGCTCTGCTCACCTCTATGACAAATTTTTAGTTTAGCTTTCTTTATATTAAACCCATGTAACTGCATGACTTGCAGAAAAAAGCCATATTTAACCAAACAACTTCTTCAAAGAGATTACTCTCATGTTTGGCATTTAACAATATTGTGCAGTAAGCTAGGCACTAGGGTTTTTCTGTCAAAAAATACTTGAAGTATATTATACTGTTAAAATTTTAATAGCCAGAAAAGGGCAACTGAAGTATTATGCTACAGAAAGATTTATTAGCAGATTTATTATTAATAAACATATATTAAAAAAATAAGATGCTGAGACATAATCCTGGCTCAATGAGATAAAGAGTTAACCATAATCTGCAATAATCAATATGCTTTTTAGGCCAATATCATATTCACATACAAAAGCCAGGAATTTAGAATAAGAGGTTCACATAAATATGATCACAGCGAAAAGGACATAAAAGTCTTCACTTTGAACAATTTGTCAGGATAATTGTAAACAGAGGCAAACAGATGTTCTTCATGATCTGTGCACCACTGGAAGTCTTTCTGTCACAATCACAGTCACATGAAGCTTCATTTCCTTAATTCTAAAATACATTTTTGTTTACTAACATCGGAGAAAAAAACAAAAGGTCCAAAAGGATTAAAGAATTTGAGGAAGAGAAGGAGTAAAGAGCAAAGCGATTATTCCAATGTATAAAAGAATTCTTCTCCTTTATGCATCTTTCCCT